TGTGCTGTCACAGAATCAGAGGGAGAGTACAGGTTCTAACACTCTGGACTTTTACAAATAAAAATATTAAACGTTGCGTACATCAATATAAACCATTTAATGAAAGTGGCACCGATGGATATATTTTAAAACTAAATTGACTTTGTGTACTGCAAAGTTAGCTGGTCCAGTTTTAGTTTAATCCCCCACACCACACACACTATAGTTATATCTCAACTAGCAACTTTTTTAACCTGTACAATAGTAGGGTCTTAAATTGGCTGTGGCTTTGCAATCCAAAGTGTGTCTTAATGCATGTTCCCCTGTGCTTATCTAATAATGAGGTTGAACAAGAATAATGATTGCTAGAATTGCCGTGTTGAAGGCATTCATTAAAGTTAATAATCAGTGGTCTTGTATCGAAGACTTATGCCCACAGTTGATCAGCCCTTTATTGTGCAGTGTTGAGTTAGTGAGTTCATTCCTACTTGAATACAAACTAACAAAGGACATCAGGTAATGTTTCCATGGTAGCAGTCCTACTTTTGCTACTCACATTTGTAATATAGACAATGCAGCAATACTCGCTGTGTCACTGCTCAGTGGAAAGAAGTACAATGTTAGTAATTCCAGCATAGTAAACTGGGTTCTGTGGTTGATTTTCAGTGAGGTCAGGATGGCTAGTCAGGTATGCTTTTGAAGTTTGTTTCTTAAGCAGCACTTGTTTTACCTTGTTCTTGTCATATTAGTTCCTGTTAGTGACCTGGTCATGTTGCTCTAGGGACAGTCACATAAAGCTGGATCCAGAAAAGGACTTAGGCATTGCAATGCTGAGTGTTGCAACACCTACCTGCTAGGCGCCCTGCCACCTGGTAGAATCCTCAGCCCTGAGTTATGTTAGGCTCCCCATACAAAGCATGGGGAGAGCTAAGCATCTAAGAAGGGAATTCCCATAGGCATGCTGTGAGCGCACCAATGAGATCAAGCCCCACAGGTGTGATAGGCAAGAGAGTGCCTAATTAAAGAAGACTGCCAGAGCTCAGGAGTGAGTTAGAGCTCCAAGCAATTTGTTAGCCATGGGGCAGCATCAAGATTTAGGCAGCTTTGCGTATACCTACTGGGGAAAATTTAGACCTCTACAAGATTAGATGGTAGCTAAGTGGTGGTTTTCAGAACGTCCATGGCACCTAAATGGTGAGCACCTTAAATACCTTTAAAAAGAACAGGAGTACTTGTGGCACCTTAGAGACTAACAAATTTAAGGTTAACAAATCTTTTTGCAGATACAGACTAACACGGCTGCTACTCTGAAACCTGTCATTAAATACCTTTGTGGATCTAGCCCATAACAGCTAAACTGGAAGCATAACTTGCAGTCAATCATGATGTGTGTTAAATAACTAAAGGGTATACCATTTTGGCCAGCAAAGAGTAAAACATATAGAATGTAAGCCAGGATGCTGCATTCAACGAGCCATAGATGACATTCAAGAATTCTTTACTGACTCAGTTGGGTTTAGACAATATTTTTGGTGTCCAAAATAAATTCATGAATCAAGTGGAAGTGACATTTACTAGAATGAACCAATCATTCAGGTGCACAGCAGTAGATCAAAGACCCCTTTGAGTATTCCTCCGATAGAGGTGCTGTAAACTGGTGTGCAGTTTCACCAGTCAAGGAAGGGAAATAAAGCTCCAAGTATAGGTTTTTAAGGCTTTTTCCTCAAGGTTTGTTTTACAGTCCACCTAATGATCACAAAACAAAAGTGAAAAAAAATACTGATCAGTAATTCCCATGAGGTTTCCCTGCTTTGAGTCAGCCAAGAGGGGAGAGGACATACCATTCCCCTTCCTTTACCCCCAACAGCCATGTGACAAGCCAAGACCTAGTAGTCATTTACAGTCTTTAGCACTTTTACTTTTTCACAAGATCTGTAGAATACAAGCTAGCCACAAGTATGGAGGGACTTTTTCATACGTGGACTCTTTCAGAGAGGCGGGTGGGGGGCTAGGGTCAGCAGCCAGTCACAGTCATCTCACAGATTAGCCTACTGCCAACATTTTAATTCCTACATGAAGTTTCTAGTAATTTGGGATTTGACTGTATAATAAAGCTTCTGTAACAAGCAGCTGAAGGAGGATATGGTAACCATGTACAGGACCAAGGTAAGGGAGAGCACTTGGGATGGAAGGAGCTCAGTATTTTTTTTTTTTTTTTTTAAGGCCAGAGAGGTCCATTGTGATCATCTAGTATGGCCAGCTGCATAATAAAGGCCATGGAATTTCACCCAGTGAATTTAAAGGTGAGAGTTTTCACAATTTCTGCAAGAGATTTCCCAGAACTTGAACCTATGAGCCCTCCCATGCACAGTCAGAACACTACCACTACTCTACCAAGCCACCAGACGGCATTTCCATAATCCTTCCTCAAGGTGACAAAGACATTGATGAGAGTGGTGCGGTCTGCAGCTGAAAGAAAGGGATATGGAGCACTCTTGGTTGCTGCTGCCTGAATCTCCAGAGGCAGATGGGGAACCAACCACGTCATTGTAGTTGTGAGCATGCATAAGAAGACAGGAAGATTTGAGGGACGTGACCAATAGTAATTTTCAGAGTTGCAGAAGCTAATTGCACCTCCATTCCCTTTCTGGTGTCTAAGTGAACTCTATCAGGGATTAAGCCTCATGCCCTTATTAGTCTGGGGTGGAATGTTGCAGTTCTCCTTAGACTGGGATCTGGGTACAATACCCCACCTATGCCAACCACTTATTACCATGCAGGTCCAATAGGACACCGGCATCTCTTTCCCTCAGGAGCCCATGACCAGAGATGTAGTGCCCAAAAGCTTTTCTAAAACAAGTAGGTTTATTAACAAGTGGAACAGAGCAATAGAGAAAAGGATTCCACAACAAACAGCCCTATCATTCCAGGCTGACCCAGGGCACCCCCTTGCAGGCAGGTATGGTGTTGTGGGTGAGCTCTTACCCAGGATATCAACAAGTCCTGACAGACTGTTCAATGCTCTAGAACACCTCCTTGTGGAGGTTCTCATTTATTGACAGAAAAGCCGACAAAAAACAAACTTTCACCTGCCACATCTCAGCTGGGTAACCCAGTCATTCTTAGTCCATCTGTCCCCAACCTGAGTCTGGTGGTCTTCTCTACCTAGGCTGTTTTACAGGGGTTCTCTCCATTCCAGTCTTTGCCCTTGAAGTTAGGCAACTTGCCCCTACTGGAGAAGGATCCCTAACTTCAGAGAAGAATCTGGGGAGATCCATCCTCTGCAACTCTTCTCCAGGGACAGCAGGTGATCCTTGCCAGACTGGGCTTCAAGAGAATATCTGGGAGACCCCCTGGCTGAGATCAGACCCTCTGTTGGATGCCTGCCAATTATAGCCATGGGTCTGTGAGGATCCTCTCTCTAGGAGCACCTCTTATACGGTCCCCATTTTGATGGGTTTCCTGGAGAGTTCACCCTCTAGGCTCCCTGATCAGCACTCGTACAAGGGCCTCTCTGCCCAGGAGTTTCTCCCCCTAACTGAGTTTGGATAACCTTTATTATTTACTAATCAGCCACCTGGGGCAGGCAGCTACCCCCAAGGAGGCCTTCATAAGGCAGTGACATGCAGGGTGGGCTCTAACTCCCCAGAAAGGGCAGGTGCCCCATGACAAGCCTACATGAATGTTTAGTCTCATCTAAACTTATGCTTCCCTAGAAGTGAAGTTAGATGGGCTTCCCTCTTGAGTTACAGGAACAGAAAAGAACTAATGTACATTCTTTTAGGAAGCCAAAAGATTGTTGGGATCCTGCCTAATCTCCAATTGTTTTCCACTGTGTGACTCCCACTACCACCAGTTTGTTCTCTCCCCTTTCAGGAAGGCTCCCTTTTCTCAGAGCCCCCAGTTACCATATCATTCTAACTTTTGTTATAGGGGGTCTAAGTGTGTCATCTTCTCTTTCCTTCCAATTGTTTTCCCTCCCACCACCAGTCAGCCAGCTCACCCAGCCACTTAAGGAATGCTCCCATGATGGCTGCTCCATTCTTTGGCAGTTAGACCATTCACCCTTAATGACTTGCAATCACTTGTCTTGTGACTGTGGGGGAATATGCTAAAACGGTCTGTTCCCTTCTGACATTACAGCCCGCTATCTTAGAAATACAATACAACAAGCCATATTTTACAGCTCAACATTCACCACCAAGCACCTTCACATTTGTCACAGTAATACCCAGAGGAAAAGCCAGGTACTTATGCAGAGTTCTTTGGAAACTGTGCTATGGTTGACATACTCTGTCTCTTGGGTCAAGCTCCTTTATGGAGCCAGATAGCTGAAACAATAGAAGCCTCCATCCAAAACACAGGCACAGCTTAATTAGAAGCTGAACCATGTAACTCGAGGGGTTTCCCTGGGGACTGATCTAGCAAATGGTGGAGGCTGGAGCATCGATGGGTGGAGCTGTGTGTGTCTGGTTCTGACTTAGAGGAGAAGCAGCAGAAACACACAGAAGGAGCCCAGACACAGCCAGAAAAGCTGTAGTAGCATGACTTTGGGGAAGGGGGGAAAAGAACTAAAAGAGAGTTTTCAGATAAAGTGCTGACTCAAAGGCTTGGAACTGAAATCAAAGAAACTGTCTCCTGTTGGTTTATGCCTCCTGTGTTCAGGGAAACAGGACTTTCTACATTCTTTGTAAATAAGGAGGATTGCATCAGAGAAATACCTGGTCCAGCCTCAATTTCTCCTTCTAATAGAAACAACCTGATAACCAGTCTTCAGGGTTTAACCACTCAGGTCAAAAGGGGTAACAGTATTCTTGTAAAACTATTCAGTTTCATCGTGCCACCCCTGTTCCAGGAGGCATCATCTCAGGTGATCCTAAGAATAAACATTCAATTGCACCTTGCAGTTCTTTGGAAAAATTGACTCATTAGTGGATTAGAGTAACAATACGCAGTAGCCAGCGCTGCTTTAAAACCAGTACATAAGCAATATATTCACTGGTCTTTTGATTCCATTTTAGGGTGTGCTGGATCCATCAAGTAACAGGGGTCTGGGTGTACCCTCTCCTGGATTACATCAGCCCAGGTGCCAAGATAATTTTCTTTACAACTGTCACCCTAGTACTTAACATTTTCTACTTGCTGGGAGAAGTCCTGAATAACTACATTTGGGATACACAAAAATGTAAGTATTGTTTTCAGGAGCACTAACCAATAGGATTCCTCTCTTGGGGCTTGATCCTGTTTCCACTGATGTTAGTGGAAGTTTTAGGATTAAAACATGGAGGAACTGACAAGATTTCATTGTAACTTTTCTTTCTTCCTCTTAAAAAAAGTCAAATGAATGAAATGTCTCCCAGGTAACATGATTAGCTATGAATATGTATTCATTTTTATAACTTCTAATACTAATTTAAGAGCTGTTGGCAATTACCTGAAAGATTTACAACCCACTCTGTTTTATTAGCTGAGGAACCAGTAAAATCTAGCTAGAATAAAGTGCCATTCCATGGAAATGATCTTATTGTTATGCTTGAGGTTAGGAAGAGAGAGATTGTTTTTAAAGGTATTTTCAAGCATAAGGTACTCATCTATTTATAAGTCAGTTTGTCCTATGAAATTAAATATGCCCATATCCAATAGTCCTCAAGTAACAGGGATAACAGATAACCATGCTGCAAAATTTTACAGAATCAACATCACTAGCCTATTTAGATTACCAATCACTTGCAACTAGGCATATAAAATGAGAGGCACAAAACTTAGTGGATTCTTTATATAACTGTTCTATTTGATGGTTTGGGGGGGGAGGAGAATATCTATGAAATTACCACCCCAAGTCCTCAGCAGATCATGATTTGAGCTACTTATAGAGTTCTTCCCCTGTTTGTGGCACACAAAGAATTCTCCAAACAAAAAAGGTATTTTTGTCCTCTCATTTCCCTGAGCAAAGGAGTCAAGAGTCCAAAAGGAAGCAGAAAGACAAGTGTGGTCAGTCTCTTAGGCAGTCTTTTTGGTCACCCTTTTGGAGTTTGGCTTATCTACAGGTATAGTGTTATGGCCTGCCTCCAGCCCCGCCTTTAGGGATACCCCCACTTCATACCTGGTTCATACAGTCTTAAGGGCAGCAAGCTCTGCAGCTACGTTCCTGGTTACTGCTCTGCCCCTGTAGTGTTCACACCTCCCCTTCATGTGGCAGGCTTTCCCTTAAGCTTCTTCCCTCAGGCAGAGCAAGCCCTACAGGTGCACCTGGTTCATGCTAGCTAAACCCAGAAGAGCTCCTTAGGCTCCTCTCTACCAGAGAGAGGATGTGCCCTCTCACATAACCCAGATGGCCTTAATCATCCCGCTGGAACAGCACCAAATTGGGTGAAATCCTTGCCTCACTGAAGTCAATGGGCATTTTGTCATTAACGTCGGTGAGGCCAGGTCACCCTTAACTTCTAATTAGAATCTGAAACAAAGTGCAAAACCCGCTTTTCTGTTTGCCTCATTTGTCCCTTTTCAATATTAGACTCCAGACATCAGGCACCTATTTTCTTAACTGTAGAACCTCTGGTCATTTGGCACTGCATTCATGGCTGGTCCTGAACCTGTAATTCAATTTCATGTTAATGTCTATTTAAACCACTTACCTCTTCTTCTGATAATGCAGGAAAGGTCCTTTAAAGAAAGAGTATCCAAAAGAAGAAGGCTTCACTGTGTACAAATTTCATATAATATAAAACATAATAATAATATGATGAAGAAGCACATGTTCTTATTGAATCCACAAACAAGTAGCTCAAGGAAAATCTCCCTCATAGTATGTATAATAAAAACTTTAGCTCCTTTGGTTCCTCATCCCAGGAGAATTGAGGTTAATGTTGCCATAGTCTCAGTAGGCTCAGCAAGGCCTTTAGCTACGCTTCAATTTTCCCCCAGTTGGTTAGGAGACACTGACCCAGATTCTTTTGGTTCAGCGACCTGGAAGCCAGCAAATGGCATGAGTCACCTGCTGTGTGGCCATGTTTGAAGCTTGGTATATAAATCAGACCTAAAGTGTATGCTAGGAACACCACAACCATAAAAACGGTAAAATAATAATTATATGTAAAATTTGAAGCAAAAAATATTTGGAAACCAAATCTTTAAAAGGGGCCTTCAAATTAAAACAATCTGACTTGAGAAGGTTTCATTTATTTCTGTGATCCTTTTCCTCTGGAGGTGCATTAAGAAAAAACCCCAGTACTGACTAAATGATTTTGTAGTTAGTTTTTCCAACCTAAACCACAAACATGATAGGGAAGGAAAAAATTGCGCTTTCCACAGGCCTTCTCTGGGTTCAAGATACCTGCATTCCTGCCAAACTAATTGATCCATGTGCAGTAGAATACCTCAGAAGAAAGGAAAGAGACTCTTTTTAAAAGACAAATGCAATGCTGTAATTAAAACCACTGGGTAAGTTCCTCACAGCACAGGACACAAGGGACCTGAGATTGGCTCTGGAGCAGACTCTTAGGCCAATAGTGTTCTTTTGGAGCCAGCCCATTTGTTTTGTTTTTCAGACCTTTGACTATGGCTATCCCATGGTTGCTGGCAAACCAAAAATACAACGCCCATTTTATTCAGACTGCTGGCAATGTCTGGAGCCATTTGTTTCCTTATGGCTTCTTTCAGTAAAGTCTCCTCTGTAAATGCTTTCCTCCTACTCCTTATCTGGGTATTAAAAGGTACATTTTCAGAACGGCCCATGGGAAGAATTAACATCCGTGCACATATTCCATTAGTAGGTAATATCATCTATGGTTGGATTTCCCTTTTGCTGCTTTCAAAATGACTTTCCATCGCCCTTTAATCCTGAGAAATCTTTCTTCTGCGATTTGCAACAGTCCAGGAAACCGCCAAAAGAAACATTTTCAGACTATCTTTGATACTTTGGGCAGGGAGGTTTAGTCAGAAGAAACAAAATGGACAAAAGAACAACACTTTTGCTAGAGTCTAATAATAAATTAATTGCCCAGGAACAAGCATCTGAAAGAGCTGACTTTTCATCACCAGGAGAACAATCTGTTGCCCAACCCAGCCGCCTTTCAACACAGACGACAGAGAGCAGTTCTGCAGCAAGGACAAATCTTCTAAAGAGAATATGTACTGTGCTCATGCTACCTAGATTACTAAAAGGAATGGACATTAATGAGAAAAAAAACCCTATTAGCAGTAATTGATTCTTTGTGCGCTGTCAGGAAAAATGACTTCTACTTATGTATTTTTTTTTTTAAATCTGACAATGGAAAGAAAGAAAAAGAAACCTAAATGGAATTAGCAATAATAGTTTTGAAAATGTACTTTAAAAAAATGTCAGCTGCTTAGCTTCAGCTAATGGTAGCCATAATAAAATCTGCTCTGTTTTGTTTGTATGTAAGCAATTGGAGCCCCAGGAGACAATTATATTCATTCTCCTGAAGCAGTCAGATGCAGAGTATGCTATAAATTCAGATTAAGATTCTAAAAAGAGTCCTAGGGAAGGAAAGGGTTAGGTAGGTTGTTACCAGACAACTGCTGGTTTCAGGTGTGTAGATGTTCTTTTCCTTCACAGCAGGTCAGGTAACATGACAGAGGCTGCTAGCAAAGAAGAAGATTACTGTATTAGGTTTCTAAATAAATAATCTGTTTTTATTCACTCAGGTGTTTTAAAAGGTGTTCTCCATATTGTTTCAGGTATAGAAGAAGGAAAAGAAAAGCCTAAAATGGACTGAGCATTGAATGCAACAAGGAGAGTTTGCTTTTTGCTCCATGGAAAACTTTTCAGCTTGAACAGATGCTGGCAGGGAAAGGAATCTCTTGGAAAAAAGTTTATATGGACCATGTACCCAATGCTTTTATTTAGAGGAGAATTGATTTTAGCTAAAAACATTAAATATGTGTTGATACTCCTCTTTCCAATATTCGTACATATCATATCCATGGGGATATGTATATTAATTATCTCCACAATGTTCTCAACATGCATTATTATCTACATCAATGTAAATGTATTTCCATTTATTGTGAGAGAAATGATGGGTCCATTTGTGTATCATTTTCAGAAAGAGGTTAAGCAGATAGGCCTACTATGGATAAATGTAATAATCCTGTATATTTCAGAGTATACTGTAAAGATCTATTAAAAGACCACTACACAAGCTTACCTGAAGAAATAATCTAATTGAACTATGATATATTAATGTACCAGTGTATAACAGTTGCCTTAAGCAGGCAACGTTAATAGTAATTATATCAATTGAATCAAACCCTAATTGTAATTAGAATCTATGTGCATATGATGGAACTTTTCTTAAATACAAAAGCACATAAATAAAGAACAAAATATGCCCAGTTTTCTGTTTCTGAATGCTGCTTCTCAGAATTCCAGATGGATAGATGCAGCATATACTGTATAATCTATTTCCAGTTTTTGTTATGTCACCTGTAGATGATGGCATTTCTGCGTTAAGTTCTTTCCTCTCAATTTCTAATACAAAATTGACTGCCGTATAATATGCTGAAGTCCTGAAACTGGGTAGCCAAGCCCTGGCTCTTAACAGATAAGTGGCAGTACATAGTGTACCAGAGAGATTGCATTCGGGCCCCCATTCAGGAAGGCACTTAAGTGTATTGGGACCTTAGTTTCTAAGTATTCGCCATGGTCTATGTTCTTTTGCATTCCAATTGACTACCAGGCAATTAAAAGGGAAATGTTACAGCCAGGGGAAAGCTGTGTGGGATTAAAATTAATGAACAGAATTATTTTTAACAGGAAAATATACTTAAGAAAAAATAATCTTCCAAATATGCAAGTACTTTGATGTCCAGCTCACACACACTTTATAATGATATTGAATTTTTTAAATATACAAAAATGTATTTACGTAAATGTTTGTAAAGCACTCTGATGGTGTAAAGTGTTGTACATGTTCAATATATATTTAATAAGAGGGACAATGTCAGGGGGTTGATTTGGCTCGACAGTGGTCCTAATCTGGAACTAAAATTTGTTAGTGTGTCCATTCTGGATTTAACCGCAGAACATGACATGCAAGTTGCAGTGTGATTTACTATCAACAAATTGGTATACATACAGTACGATAAGAAACATTGCAGGAGTTGTGGTTTTTTTTTGGGGGGGAGGGGTTAAACAGAGATTTTGGGATGTGGTAGTTGGTTGTTTAAAAAAGCAGGATCTATTTAAAATACAGTTTAGGAGTACAGTTGGCTAGACATTCCAGATGGACTAAATATTAAAATGCCATAGGAAAAGTTTTAACTCTTAAAACTTTCACAATGTTTCCTTTAAATTTCAAAAACAGGGAAAATTCGAGTTAAATCTCCACCACACACTTGACCAACTCATACCTATTTGCAGTGTTGTTTTAGCCATGTTGGTCCCAGGATCTTAGAGAGACAAGGTAGGTGAGGTAATATCTTTTATTGGACCAACTTCTGTTGGTGAGAGAGACAAGCTTTCAAGCTACACAGAACTCTTCTTCAGGTCTGGGAAACTAAGGGCATATCTACACTATAATCTTAAACCTGTGTTAGGTCAATTTATAGCCACCACAGTAATTACTGTGGTGGCTGATGTCCATATTACTCTCCTTCTGTCAATGGTGTGTTTCCTCACCAGGAGCGCTTCCGCTGACTGAAGAGAGGCAGTGTGAGGGGCTGAGAGTCAGGGCTCTCAGCTCTGCGAAGCCCAGCTGCCTCCAAGGCTTCTCACCTTCCCACTCTCAGCCAGGAGTAGGGAAGAAGCCACACAGGGCCTCTTGCCTCTGGCAGAGAGATCTGTGCCTGAGGTCTGGCCAGCTGGCAGGGAACCGAGTGCCCAGGGGGGAGGGGGCAGCCAGGCTCCAAGCTGGGAGCTTCAGTTCAGCTGGGCTCCCTGCTGGGAGCAGGGAGCCAGGACCCCAGGGGGCAGCAGGGTTCTCAACAGGAAGTGGGGAGCCTGGGTGGCAGCACAAGCCAGGAGCCTGGGTGGCAGCCCAACTTGGAGCGGAGACCCAGCAACAGCCGGGTTGGGGAGCTGGGCTTTTTTGTCAATTTCACGGCTCCAGTGGAGCCATGAACTTTACAAGACAGCCAACTGTCGATGTAAGTAACTTAGTGTCTACACCAGTGGTTCCCAAACTGGGGTTTGTGAACCCCTGGGGGTTCATGAAGTGTTACAGGGGGTTCTTGGGAAAAAATTCCCTAATGGCGGACAGAGCTGCCCATAGGGACTCCAGGCAGCACGGGGCAAGCAGCCCGGAGCCTCTAGACTTCCAAGAGCTAAGCAGCTCAAAGCAAGCATATCGATCACACTGAGGAAATTTAAACTTCAAAACTCCTTATAAGAAATGGAAAGGGAGGTGGATTTTTTTTTGCTGTTTTTAAAATAAATAAGCAGCTAGTATTGTTTTTAAAATTATTATGAAGAACTAGTTTGAGCTTTGTTGTAACGTGCGTTGTTTTCCTGGACTGCTCAAGACCTGAATGCTTGTGTAGGAGGAACTCTTTGAGTTGGCTTCTTAAATACCTTTATGCTGTTTCACATCTGATACTCCTTGATGAAACATAGGAGCCTTGTCTTATAACAGGCTTATTCAAAGTGATACAAGCTACAAAAGTGAGATCTTGGAAGAGTGTTGCCGTTTTCATAATGTAATAAAAATACTGTAATGATAAATAATAATTAATAATAAATAGTGTGTAATAAGCATGTCATAAAAACACATTTTATATTTCCAAGATCACTTCTTTTTATAATTTATATTCAGGTAAAGGAGAAAATCCCTGGAAATATTCATTTTTAGGAGGGGGTTCGTGAGACTAGACATTTTAGTGAAAGGGGTTCACAGGTTGTTAAAGTTTGGGAACCACTGGTCTACACTGATACTGCATCTTCCTAACTAGACCAGCATAAGCCCTACGCCTCTCATGGAGGTGGAGTTATGATGTTGGTGTAGTTAGGACACTTACGTCAGCTATTGTGTGTACACTGATAAAGTTAGGTCAACATAAACTGCCCTATGTTGACCTAACTGTGTAGTGTAGACCAGGGCTTACTCAGGCCAGGTCTACATTACAGACCTATATTGTTATAATTATATCATTCAGGTGTGAAAAATCCACTGTAGTACTGTGCGTGAAGACAAGCCCCAAGAGTGTCGCAACTAACTACAATGTGGAACAGATTGTTTAGAATATACTAGAAGAAGTTAACACATATTCTAAGGGACCATTCAAGGTGAAGTGGCGCTGGTGCAGGGTGGACTAGGTCCAGAGGCCCCCTACTGAAGACCTTGCGGCCCTGCAACACCCTGTCCCAGAATAGAGCAGTGAGAAGTCCTCCAGGGAGCCTAGAGTGGCTGCAGAAGAGCAGCCAATCAGAGAGGCTGCTGGAGCAACCAATAAGGGGCCAGAAGGGCCAGATAAAAGGCAAGCAGCAGAGCAAAGTAGAGCCTTTAGTTGCTGTGTAGAGCTTGACAAGGGAGGACTGGGTGCCTGGCTAGTTAGATGAACACCAGGACTGTGGATAGCTTACTGCAGAGAGCTCACCAGACAGAACTGAGCCCAGGGAAGGGTGCCAAAGAACTGCTTCCTGGCTGGCTGGATAGAATAGCAGCAGAGCCATTGAAACATCAGTGTGGGAAGGCTGAGCCCAGGGCATTGAGCATAAAACCTGGCCAAACCAGATGAGAGTACTGAGATGGATCCTGCTGGACTGGTAGCAGACTGAGCCCAGGGAACACTGCTGAAAAGGACACCAGTTGAGGGTACCGAGAAGGGCCCCAGCTAGGTGTCTGAAGAAGGCTGTGCCTCTGGGAAGATGCCTAAGAGTTATGGCCCTATACCAGGGCTGTGATAAGGACTCTGGAATGTATATCCTGGGATAGTGTGTGCAGCTCAGCTGGAGGGCTGAGCTGCTGAAGACCAGCTGAGAGAACCAGTGGCCAGGGGTGCTTGCGAGAGGCAGGTACCACCCTGATGTAAGACCAAAAAAGAAAAGCAGGCTCACACCTAATCGAGAGGAAAGGGGGCCATCCATGAAAGGTGTGTGGTTCCCCTCCCTCCCCCGGGTGAAAAGGCTGTTTGCAGGCACCATTGGCCAGAGAAAAAGGGGCATGCACAAGAGGCAGATGCTGACCCCGTTACGGGCCCTTAACACTTCTACTGTCAGAGGACAAAAAAGGGAGGTTAGTAGGTTACGTATTGTTTTAATAAACTATAAATCCAATGTCTTTATAAGACCATGTTTTTAATGTCTAGCAAGTTTATGACTTTAAGCATCAGGCATGTCTTTTGAAGGTGTTGTGCAAGTTTCCTTTGAGGACAAGAACTGAGAGGTCAGATATGGCGTAATCACTTTGTGAAAAGTGTTCGTCCATGGGTGGCATGGCATTTTTGTCTTATAATTTTTTTGTGTGAGTTCATTGAGGAGCATAGTGATTGTCTGGTTTCACCCACATAGTTGCTATTGGGGCATTTGGTGAACTGGATGAGGTATATCACATGTGATAGGCATGTGTAGGCCCCATAGATCTGGAAAGGTGTGTTGTGCGGGGTGTTGATCATTGTAGCAGTGGAGATATGTCTGCAGGTTTTTGCATGTGTTATTCTGGCAGAGCCTGGTGCCACTTTGAGATGGTGTATCTGGTCTGCAAGGAGCTCTTGTCTGATGAAGTTGGGGGTTGTTTGAAGACCTAGATAATTTGTCCCTTGCTGTGGAACCCTCATTAATGACTGCATTTGCCAATGTTACATACTAGTGTTAAGAATAAATTCTAATATAAGGGGAGCTGGTAGTGACCACCTACATTTAGATTTCCTAACACTTTTCATCCAATCCACAAGCCAGGAACTGGTCTGGTGACTTTCAGGGCAGGTATATAAACCTCACCGGAGGACCAGCAGCTTAGTTTGCTCAATGTCACTCTAGGGCTTGCAACTCTCTCCTCCCCAAGCCTTAGCCTGCTCCAGCCCTGGTCCTGGCCCTGCTCCAGCCTTGCTCTCACTCCAGCCCACCTCTGGACTCCTGATTCTGGCTCTGACACCTGACTCCAGCCACTAGGGCCAACTGCCATGGCTTCAGCCACTAAGCCTGACTTTCCCCATCATGGTTGCTGACAGAGATAGATATCTAAATGCACAGTTAGGCACCTAAATCAAAGTGACCTTACTTTCAAAGGCGCTGAGTACACACAACTAGTATTGTCTGCTGTTGGATCTGTAAGCATCAGTACCTCTGGAAATCCGTACACTCTCCAATTACGTGTCAAATATGGATTTAGGCCAACATTTTCAAATTTCTGTGCCAGTAGCAAATACATGCAGTGGAGATTGTAATATTTTCCAATTGGT